ACTGTGGCTCTGTAATTGTGAAGATTCACTTTGTGATTTTCTTATCACAAAGATGATGATCTGACTATTAAAACTCTGATGTAACACCACTGTGGTGTTTATTAGAGGCATCATGGATACCATTAAAAAAAAGCATCAAGCAACGAACAGATCAGTTCTCCACATATTTTACAACAGCAGGAATACAAATAAAATATAATTTCCACAGGTGTCACAACATCAAATGTAAGTTATGTGGATTCACCAGGACCTAAAGTAAACAAAGTGGTTCGCAGGACAAACTGGCAATACAATTTAAAATTTGATAGAAAGTAACAGACTATAGAAAATAAGGATAACTGTAACTGAACTGATATCAAGGAGTAACTTAAGACAACACAGACTATGATGCTCAAAATATCATAATAGTTATTTCTGTTTATTAATAGCTCTTCCTCTTCTCATTTTCCTCCTATTTCTTATTTCCGTTTTGTGTGACCTTCCAAATTTTATGATTTTGTTTGTTTGCTGTTGCTGATTAAGACTCGTTGAAACATTTGATTGTTTTCATGTATGTCTTTTCCTTTCTCTCTGGTCAGGTCATTATTTGTGTCGTGTTAAGTTACTTCTTAGTAACTTGACATATTTAGGTTCATTTAGTTGCATCACTGATATTCATCATTATCTTACTGACTGGTACAGGAGACTGTAACCACAACACTCATGCTTTAACACTATGTATTAACTTGTGGGCTGAAGGTTGGTATGGTACCTGTCTGAAACACAAGAGATGTTATGTTAAAATTTATGTGAAAGTTATATTCAATAACACTGACCATTCTAGAGGATTCACAACCAACCAGCCAACTAATCAGTCAGCCCATAAACAAGTCAGCCCACCAATCAGTCAGCCCACCAACCAGTCAGCCCACCAACCAGTCAAATGACCATCAATCAGCCCACCAAACAGTCAATTGGCCAACCAACCAGTCAACTGGTTAACCAACTATTCAGTGGATCAACCAACCAGTCAACTAGTTGATTTGCCAGCCAGCCATCCAGTTGGCAAATAAACCAATGAGACAATCAGTCAGCTAGCAACAACTATACATTTAGAAATGTCTCTTCTAAACACTTCTTAAAATTTGAAGGCATTAAAACAACAAAAAAGCACAGATACTTTAAAAATAAATCAAGTTATTCACAACTGTATGTCTCAGCACAGAGTCTGGGAGCAATGAATTAAAAGAACTAACGTAATATCACATACACTGTGACAACAAATAGGGAATGCACAAACATAGAAGTAACAAATACATAATTTGACAATTGTTACATCGCATATCTTTCAAAGTATGTCCTCCATGTTTCCTGTTCTGCTTCTTTATTCTTCTGAGGTGGAGGGAAGACCGTGCCCTAGATGCCCACTTGTTTCTCAATAACTTATAAGCCAGCAGGTAAAGCTGATCTTCTGTTAACAGACTTCCAACCAAATAACAGAGGTACTCGTGGGTAGGTTTTTCTCCTCTATCAATTTCCTTTGGATATTTTCCAGGTATGCTGGTGTATTGGGAAATAAACAGGCAGATCGACTGGCTGGTTCCTATGAAGGCGAGTGAACAGATGGAGCATCAAGTCCAAGGAGAATGGTGCTGTGAGGAGTGACTGGGGTATGTGGCCGATGATTAGCACTCAGGAAAAAGGTGAGACAGATAAACAGTCAGACTGTTATTAGTATCATTAGAACTGTAACTCTACACCTGCTACTGAAGATAGGGACAGAGCACTTATGGGAATATTCCGAGTGCTGTGATGCCAATTCTTAATTAAACATGAATAAGTTTTGCCAGGGTCATGGCTTTACAGCATACCCTGTGTAATTTCCAACAAATGTAGCATTTTTAACATTTTGAATTGAAACACAGGATCTTGCTTTCTGCAAAGGCTGGATGTTCAATCTCTCCACCTAGAAGACTGGGGGAAGATGTGTTATCAGGCAACTTCACTCAGCGAAACATTTAAACATATCAAGTAAATGTGAATCCCTGTGTGGGTTACAAGGTCCCATTTGTGTTAGTGTGTGTGTGGGTGAGTGTGCAGGTGAGTGGGTGTAGGTGGCAGTGTGTGTAGGTGGGTCGGTGTGTGTATGTGGACGGGAAGGGAAGGGGGGAGAACAGACCCTCTGCCCATTAACAAGCATAGCATAAAAAGTGACTAATTAGGAGTTTGCCGGATGTGCTGGGCTGAAGGGCACAGATATCACAGCCTAGCTGTAAACCACAAAAGAGTGTGCCAACTAGTCTTCTAAGGGTGAATACTGATGACTTAAAGGAGGACGAGAAAATGAAGAAAAATTGTAAAGTTAAAGATCAAAAAGACTTGGCTACAAAATCAACCCAGACTTTTTGAGTAGGAGGCCAAATATACCAACACAGCTTGCAGTACACTACACACCACCTGAAGTGTCATAAGATTTGCCAACAGAAACAGAACACAGAACAAGGACTTTGCTGACAACTCCCATCCAAGGACAAACTCTATCAAGGAGTCAACCCCAAGTTCATTACTGTGTTCTTTAAACATATTCAGGTTAACATTTGAGGATTTCAAAAATAAGGAAGCAGCAGAAAGAGGAAGAAGAAGAAAACAGAAAAGAAGAAGGTGGAGGAAGGCAGGTGTGATGAAAGGAACAGAAAAATAAGAAGTAGCAGCAAAAGGTGGATAAGGAGAAAAATGAGGAAACAACCAATGACGAGGAGCAGGAAGAGGATCCAATTCTAGGTGTTGGCAGTTGATATCTCTGGACAGACCCAAGAAAGATGGGATCAGGGGATCAGCTTGCACAGTACACACAGAATGAGATGTCCAGAATGGAATGATCATATCCCAACTAAAACAAAGTACACACAGAATGGCTTGGATTAAGTTGATTAAGTTTCCTCCATGTGGTTTAGAAGAAGTAAAAGTAAAGTAAATGTCCCTTTTCCGTGCCTTCATGCATATTGGGCATAGAGAGCTAGACCTTTATTTTACAGACCAATCAGCACTTGGTGACTGATATGATTAGCATCATGCCAGCTGCCTTGACTTCCCAGGACTGCTCCTGGTACCCACTCAAGGCTGGGTTGACCTGGAAACAAAGGTCATTTTTGAAAAAAGTCCGGCTCCGCCAGGACCTGCACCCAAGACCTTCCGATCCGCAGGCGAGCGTCTGGCACTGTATGATAATGACCCCCTGTGTTTAAGGTATATATATATATATATATGATATGGTTGAAAACATGTACGTGTTTGTAGGTGGACCTCCAATCTAATGCTCAGAGATATACATCAGCTACACCTGAAAACAACATATATATATATCAGAATGAATGACAAAGACAAAGAAATATTCTGTATAGTCCAAAGCAAAAATACTTCTTAGTGACCAAATAAATGAACATACGTTTGTTTCCAAATATTTCCACACATATACAAAAATAAAATTCTCTTTGATCTGAATGCTGGCTTCAACATGTCAGAAAGCTCAGCAATTATGGCTTAATATGTGATCCAAACATAACTATCATGGAATTCAAACGAGTCACCTCATAGTTCCAAAAATTAGTCACGAGGCTTGAAATGCAAACCAAATGTAACAAATCTGGAAATCCAAATAAATCACATCATGGCTTTGAAAAAGTCACATGACTTAATATGTGATTAAAAAATAACTGTTTTGGAATACAAACGAATCACAAGTTTAAATATGACTGAAACAGAAATATGAAGGCGCCGTATAGTCCAAATCTGAACTAACTGATACCCATCGGTAGGAGTTTGTCACAGGTTAAAAACAGACTTGTTTCGAAGATCCTGGACTTTCAACAAATCACATCATATTTTTGAAGAATTGGTCACATGATGTTTTAAAACACATAAGTCTCTTCCCTGGAATACACATTTTTGACATGAAACTGAACCTGACTAAAACAAGTCTCCATATTTGTGTGACAAGCCATGGAATGCTTGGTTGCATGGTGCTCTGTTATGATGTGAAGTTTTAGGCTGTCATTGACTTTGTCAGTCCATATTCTTCAAGGTCTCCCCCTGGTGTTTCCATTTTCCTGTTGTATACTCTCGCTTCTGGCATCATTGGAATCATTCTTTTTAGATGCCCAAACTCTATTAGCCCCGTTGCCTAGCCCCGTTGCCTTAATAATATGTACCAAGTCAACCGTGGTTTATGTGTGTGACTTCAGTAGATATAAATAACATTATCTGTACACAAGTGTGGAGTAGACGTGGTTAACGTGTATGACTCCAATCATAAATACCACTATCTCTACACAAGTGGAACGGATGTGGTTATGCAATGACAGCACTTGTAATCACATGAAATTGAAGTCGTAATTTGTATTTAACTGACTTGAAGAGCTTCCATTTGGGCACATGCAGCATGTTTCCAATCACAAATCATGTCAGTGTAACGGATCAGTCAACTAATAACAACAGCTGATATAATAACACTCAGGGCGCTGAAAACAGGCTCTGTCTCTTCAGGCAGATGTCAGAGAGTAGATATGCTGGCGGCCCAGTAGAATAGTAACAATATAATTGATTAACACGTTCAGTGATGAGAATCATAGATTGTTTTTGGAATCTGTTAATTTAAATTTAAGTTTACTGACACACAGTCTCCTCAAATCTGATGTAGAGATTGGGTAAAGTAGCTCAGAGACATCCATGTGAGTGTCAATTTTATCAGGTCATCACACAAACTAGTTTTCACTACAAGTTGCCAGTTCAGCTAAGATATGGCCAGTTTTCAACTTTTCAAACCATATAAAAATCACAGAAATCATAGATTAACACAAAAAGAAAATGACCGCATGAGATAACGTTTCTTAAAGCAACCACCAAAACTTGATGAAGATATCGGGTACACAGTGTACTAGAATAAAATTCTTCTTCACAAAGGTCATTTGATTAATTATTGGCAAACTGGCCAGTGATTCATTTTACCATAATCAGCCAGTTTTTCATGCGCTGGTTTCTGATAGGCCATGAATATGTAGTCCTCCTGAATTCATAGACGCAGCCAGACTAGGCAGCGGAGTGCTTGAACTCAGTGGCTGGTGACCATTGGCAGAGGAATGGGACATAATACTGCTCAACATCTGGTGGTTTCCCAAGGTTGTCATGTTTATTCCACCCCCAGCGTTGGACATGTTTCCAACTCCAAATGAAACCAAACTGGTAGGAAAATGTTGGTTGCCCATGCTGGTCATCATCAGACCACTGTTGTTGCTGTTGCTTTTGATCATGTGGTTGCCGGCATTGTTGTCACTGTTGAGATTCATCATTGCAGAACTGATGTTGCTTGCCATGGCATTCCCACTATGGCCTGCGTGGTTCATTCCAACATTTCCCAAGGCAGCCGAAGTAGGGACAAGACTGGAATGGTAAGCATGATGAATTATCGTAGGCCTCTGGCGACTGGCAGGCAGAGAGACTGTGTTGTGGTTGTGGCCAGAGTTTGGACCCCCTGAAGCATTTTTGGGGATCCCTAGAATTCTGGGAGGCTGGTATGGGGGAGGTGGGTAGTCTTCGAACATGTAGGTCACAGTCCTGAGATTATTGGGATCTTTAGGTTGAGTCAGATGTGCATGGTGGGCATGATGGGCATGTCCGTGACCATGGTGGTGTGCGTGTGGGTGGTGACCCAAAGTACCATGTGGCGACCTCAACTGCCTCAGATGCATCCCACCATTTGCCAATCCTGCATTGATGCTCTCATAGCTTCTTCGTTCTGGTATCACCTCGTAATAATTCTCAGACCCACTCTGGCTGTACTCAACTTGTTCTCTCTCAGACAACGATGGATTCACATAGAAAATATCATCTTGAGTCATTGTTGCTTGAGATGAAGTTACCGAACTTCCTTTCCCTTTTGCTGCATTTTTAAGTCCCATGAACCAAAGCCCAAAGAAAACGGCAGCTAAGATAAGTCCCAACCCTGCTACGATTCCCAAGGAGATGGACAGATACTTGTAGACATCTTCACTAGAGGATGATTCCTGATCATTGTCCAGATATCCAACATATGAATTCCACCCTGAAGATGGTGCTAGTGGGTCATCTTCACACTCGCCATAGTAACCTGGAAATACACAGACATCAGGCAATTATTGATCATGTCTTAGTGAATGTTGAACACAAGGAGGTACAAGTTAACATTTAGCAGAAGGAGGTACAAGTTAACATTTAGCACAAGGAGGTACAAGTTAACATTTAGCAAAAGGAGGTACAAGTTAACATATAGCACAAGAAGGTACAAGTTAACATTTAGCACAAGGAGGTACAATGCTTAAATATAGCACAGGGAGGTACAAGTTAACATTTAGCAAAAGGAGGTACAAGTTAACATTTAGCACAAGGAGGTACAAGTTAACATTTAGCACAAGGAGGTACAAGTTAACATTTAGCACAAGGAGGTACAAGTTAACATATAGCACAAGAAGGTACAAGTTAGCATTTAGCACAAGGAGGTACAATGCTTAAATATAGCACAGGGAGGTACAAGTTAACATTTAGCAAAAGGAGGTACAAGTTAACATTTAGCACAAGGAGGTACAAGTTGACATTTAGCACAAGGAGTGGTACAAGTTAACATTTAGCACAAGGAGGTACAAATTGACATTTAGCACAAGGAGTGGTACAAGTTAACATTTAGCACAAGGAGGTAAGTTAACAATTAGCACAAGGAGGTAAAAATTAATGTCTAACATGAGAAGGCAAAAGCTGATGTCTAAAACAGAAGGCAACAATTAATGCCTGACATGAGAAGGCAAAAGCTGATGTCTAAAACAGAAGGTAACAATTAATGCCTGACATGAGAAGGCAAAAGCTGATGTCTAAAACAGAAGGCAACAATTAATGCCTGACATGAGAAGGCAAAAGCTGATGTCTAAAACAGAAGGCAACAATTAATGCCTGACATGAGAAGGCAAAAGCTGATGTCTAAAACAGAAGGCAACAATTAATGCCTGACATGAGAAGGCAAAAGCTGATGTCTAAAACAGAAGGCAACAATTAATGCCTGACATGAGAAAAAATGTAATGTCCAACATTAGAAGGTACCATTTTTAATTAGACATAATATAGACTTTTGGAAGAAAAAGAAGAAGAAGAAGAAGAAGAAGAAAAAAGATGATAATGATGATCAGGAGGAAGAGGGAGGAGGAGGAAGAAGAAGGAGGGAGATAGCTCTCCTTGTGGGTTCCCAGGCCCCCTCTAACTAGTATGTCATAAAAGGATACTAATTAGGGGTGTTTCATTTGAAGTCGGATGACATCTGCCTGAGAGACGAGGAATAAACAGTCTGCATACAAACAAGCCAGACCTGTCAAACAGATGTGCAGGCAAATTTCAAATTCTGGAATAAGACCAATCTCCAGAAGTTGGACGAACAGCCTTAACTTTCTGGTGGGCACTAAGAAGAAGAAAAAGGTTACAGCAGAAGGTGAAGAATCAGAAGGTAAAGGAAGAAGAGGGAAGCAGGAGGAAGAGGAGGAACAAATTAAACAGAAAAATGATAAAACATTGGGAAAAAACACACACAACAAAAACAGAAACATGTTATACACACCCGTTATGTTGAAAACATAGTTTAAATTAAGCTGTCCACTCTGGTCACATCGACTCACAGCAAAGAACCATGTCCTGGGAACTGACGACCGGAAGATTCTCTCCCCAAGACAAACATAAAATGCTTCTCCAGTTTCATTCCACAAGGTGCAACCACTGGAGTCATTGGTGGCTCGAAGTGGGATCACCTGCAAGGAGGTAAACAAGGAACTACTTGTTAACAGTTTTAGCAATAAGGTATTTATCTCCAGTTGTCAGTTTTCACAATTATTTCCTCCCATAATAAGATAGAATGATAAAAAACCTTACAATTATAAACAATAACAAAGAATACAAAATTGCTATAGCTGAAAGATAATAATTTATTGGTAGTTGAGGAAATCTTCATTGCTCAAAAAGGAAAAAGCTGGAGCAAAGAAAAACTGCAAATTGTAGCCACTTAGGAGACATACCAAGGCTGAACAAGGAAAATTGGCCAAGACAAAGAAATTGGGTCAAGAAATGAAAAGGCCAATGAGATGAGTAAAGTGGGGTAGGAAGACTGGGTTACTGGGTAAAGAATTGATGGTGTGGATAAAATGGTTAATGGGATTAGAAAACAAGATTAACCCATGTTGGAATAAGAGGAAACAAGTTTTAACTTGACAAAAAAATTGTTTTAAGGGGTCACTACACAGCATTTTTTTCAAATTTATGACAAAAATATCACTTTTTCAATGTGTTCATTTTTGTAATGTTCGGCATTCGTAGAATAGATTACACACAAAATTTGTGTCATTGGTAAAAAGTTTAGCATTGAAAAGTTAATACTAAAGACACCAACCCATGCACTTTTTTAATATAAAAAAAGTTTAAAAGTCACTTTTCTAACAATTCAATTTTTCTGTTTGTTGTGTGTGGGATCTCCTAAAATCTCAGCTAATATAAAGACTAGAGACGTGCTACAAATGTAGCAACATACATCCCTACAAATGACCATTATAAAATAATTGGTCTAACATTGTAAATAAAAAAATAAAAATTTTTCCTGTAGTGACCCCTTAACCACCTCCCACCCCTCTTGCATGCACGCACACACACACAGAAATCTGGATACCAGGTATTCATAGATCTTGTTAAACTAAGTAAAGATAATTATGTATCAGCAACATTAGAATGCATCGATCATAAGAAAAATTATAAAATTATGCTATACAACAAAGGTGATTAAAACCAAAAGTGAGTAAATGGAGAAAGTAGAAGCAGAAGAAAAAGAAGAAGAAAGGGAAAGAAGGTAGGAAAGGAAATTAAGCATAGGAAACAGAAGAAAGAGATACTGGAGGGAGAAAGATAAGAAGAAGAAAACTAAGAAAAAAAAAGAGAAAGAAGAAGTTCATGGAAAAAGTAGGTAGGAGGAGTATGAGAAGTTAAAAAAAAAAAAAAAAGAGGAATATAAGCTGAACATGATGATGAAAGAGTTTGAGAAGGGAGAAGAAGAAGGACAAAGATGAAACAAAAGAAAGAGGAGTTGTAAGGAGAAGTCAAAAAGAGATAAAGGTGGAAGAAAGAAGAGGAGGTGGAGGAGAAAAAGATGAAGAAAAAGATGTCCTTTTGAACTGCAACACACATGCAAATAGGCACCTGGTTATTGTCAGCAGGCAAGACAGCAAGTCGCTGTTCACAGGTCATGGATGAGCGCAGCTGCTTGACCTGATCATCGTAGTAAATCAGCAAGTTGGCGCAGCACTCCTTGACTGGGTAGGTGATCTGGTACTGGATCTTGGCGTAATCCCGATGGAAGGCTTTATGGACCAAATATCCGTACCAGCTGAGGAAACACAAACATAGATTTTATATTGTCTGCAGGGTTCTTCTCTCCGTCTTAGGATTCACCAGCTGTAAACTGCAATGGAAGGTTCTGGTTGTTTGTCCATTTCTGGAATTTGTTTTGGTTTCAGAAATTGAGTTTTGCGTGCATATCCATTTTACAAATCTGGCTTACTTGTGTGCAGGTGGATGGTTTCTTGCCTGATGCAAATCGACTTTCAAGGAAACCCGAAATTAGTCGACTCTTACGACATGCATGCTGGGGAGCAGTGCATCTTTTCTTGTTTCCCCCACAGTGGGGCCTCATAAACCACAAAGATTTTTACAATTTGACGGGCATGATAAACCCAACATATTCAGACTGGCCGGCACTGATCCAGCCACTATGCCAGGACTATACTCAACTAAGTTAGTCCAGGGGCTACAAAATGTTGGAAGATGGGGATCGTTGCGGACCACAGGCCCGAGCTCCAGCACAGAAATAACACTAACATATAACAACTAGTAGGTGATTCATAGGCCACTTGCCAGGCCTCTGCAGGCCAGATATGGCCTGCGGGCCGCCAGTTAAATAGCACTAAGCCAGCTCAGTTCCACCTCTCCTCCCCCGCCTCGCACCCAAAATGCCAAGATCTGTAACAACCGGAAGAAATGACACTGCCTTCCCTGTAGTTGTGCATTTTCCTCCACATGAAGACTGACAGGATAAAGTTTATCTACCAGCTTTTCAGCCCAGTGCATGCCGCGACACTGTGCTGAATTTTGGAATGCTTTTTGACTGTGCGTGGTTTTCTACCTGATCTGTGGATCCAGAAAGTGCCACTGAAATAACCCGTAAATATACCATAAAAGGATCAACAGAAGTACTCACTTTCTCTGAGTGAAGACTCTTCCTTTGACTGTGCACACACCTGGGGATGTCTCCGAGGTTGTGATCGCCGTCGCCTGTGTCCCTGCCGCCAGCACTAACATGTTCAGCAACAGAGAGACCAGACTCCATTTTGCTTGACCCTTGACCCCCATTGTTTCCTCCACAAATAATTAAAAGCTGAAGTTTAAGGCTGCCTGTCTGTGTACCAGCCTGACAGGTGCCTGTCTGTGCACCAGCCTGACAAGTTATCTGATTGGAAGAAAACATATTGTATATATGTTATGTGTGCACACAATGACCCTTGTCCATGCCCTTTAAACCTATTGGGCATATAGGGCTAGACCTATAGTTTACAGACCTCGGTGGGTGATGAGGTCAACAACATGCTCACCGCCTTTACTTCACAGGACACTCCCTTATACTCCTCCTTCTTCGCGTTCACCGGCTATAAACTCCAGTGGAAAGATCTGGTTGTTCGCCAACTTCTGAACTTTAGTCTTGTTCCAGAACTTGAGTTTCACGTGCACATTCGTTTTACAGATCTGTCTTATCTGCATGCAGACTACTGGTTCCTTGCCTCTCAAGCAGATGCACTAAGTCGACTCTTACGACACTCTTGTTAGGGAGACACTATGTATATTCTCCCTCCTCCTCTCCCCCACAATGGGGCCCTGATACTCATTTTTAGAATGGGTCGCCCTTGGAGCCCAGGTCATGGTTGCCGACTCGAACCCAAGGACCATAGGGCCTGCAGGCCGAGCGTCTAGCGCCTAAACATTTCTTGTGACCCCAGTGATACACTTGATGCAGACGACACAGTTCTTCCTTCCAACGGGAAACAGTGCTTAGACAAATTCATTTTGAATGTAAACAGCACAAGGAAGAAGAGAATCTATTTCTGACTGAGGGAAAACAAACAGAACTAATGTGCACAATGAATGCAGCACACCAACAATGAAGAGATTAAAAATGTAAGAGATTTTCAATGTTTACGCTCAGTAATGAACAACAATGGCGACTGCACAAAAGAAGTCAGAAAAAAGACTTCATTTAGCCATGCAGAGGCTAGACAGCATTAAAAAAAAAAACGTGGCAAAGCACCTGCAAGCAAGGTCAGGCAACCATTTTGAGATCCTGCATCTTTCCCGTGGTAACTTATGGATGTGAGCAACTTATGGATGTGAGCAACTTACTTATGGATGTGAGCAACTTATGGATGTGAGCAACTTACTTATGGATGTGAGCAACTTATGGATGTGAGCAACTTACTTATGGATGTGAGCAACTTACTTATGGATGTGAGCAACTTATGGATGTGAGCAACTTATGGATGTGAGCAACTTATGGATGTGAGCAATTTATGGATGTGAGCAACTTACTTATGGATGTGAGCAACTTATGGATGTGAGCAACTTATGGATGTGCGCAACTTATGGATGTGAGCAACTTATGGATGTGAGCAACTTATGGATGTGAGCAACTTACTTATGGATGTGAGCAACTTACTTATGGATGTGAGCAACTTACTTATGGATGTGAGCAACTTACTTATGGATGTGAGCAACTTATGGATGTGAGCAACTTATGGATGTGAGCAACTTATGGATGTGAGCAACTTATGGATGTGAGCAACTTACTTATGGATGTGAGCAACTTACTTATGGATGTGAGCAACTTACTTATGGATGTGAGAAACTTACTTATGGATGTGAGCAATTTACTTATGGATGTGAGCAACTTACTTATGGATGTGAACAACTTACTTATGGATGTGAGCAACTTACTTATGGATGTGAGCAACTTACTTATAGATGTGAGCAACTTACTTATGGATGTGAGCAACTTACTTATGGATGTGAGCAACCTATGGATGTGAGCAACTTACTTATGGGTGTGAGCAACTTACTTAAGGATGTGAGCAACGTATGGATGTGAGCAACTTATGGATGTGAGCAACTTACTTATGGATGTGAGCAACTCACTTATGGATGTGAGCAACTTACTAATGGATGTGAGCAACTTATGGATGTGAGCAACTTATGGATGTGAGCAACTTATGGATGTGAGCAACTTACTTATGGATGTGAGCAACTTACTTATGGATGTGAGCAACTTACTTATGGATGTGAGCAACTTACTTATGGATGTGAGCAACTTACTTATGGATGTGAGCAACTTACTTATGGATGTGAGCAACTTACTTATGGATGTGAGAAACTTACTTATGGATGTGAGCAACTTACTTATGGATGTGAGCAACTTATGGATGTGAGCAACTTACTTATGGATGTGAGCAACTTATGGATGTGAGCAACTTATGGATGTGAGCAACTTATGGATGTGAGCAATTTATGGATGTGAGTAACATATGGATGTGAGCAACTTATGGATGTGAGCAATTTATGGATGTGAGCAACTTATGGATGTGAGCAATTTATGGATGTGAGCAACTTATGGATGTGAGCAATTTATGGATGTGAGCAACTTATGGATGTGAGCAACTTATAGATGTGAGCAACTTATGGATGTGAGCAACTTATGGATGTGAACATCTTATGAATGTGAGCAACTTATGGATGTGAGCAACTTATGGATGTGAGCAACTTATGGATGTGAGCAACTTATGGATGTGAGCAACTTATGGATGTGAGCAACTTATGGATGTGAGCAACTTATGGATGTGAGCAACTTACTTATGGATGTGAGCAACTTACTTATGGATGTGAGCATCTTACTTATGGATGTGAGCAACTTACTTATGGATGTGAGCAACTTATGGATGTGAGCAACTTATGGGTGTGAGCAACTTATGGATGTGAGCAACTTACTTATGGATGTGAGCAACTTACTTATGGATGTGAGCAACTTATGGATGTGAGTAACTTATGGATGTGAGCAACTCATGGATGTGAGTCACGGACTCTCCCTCAGTATTTGGAGAAGAAATTCGCAGTTTTTGAACTTAAACGCGTCAGAACAATTCTTAGAATACCGTGAATCAAGACAAAGAAAAATGTCGACGTCCTGCATGTCCGGAACATCAAAGAGAACTGGCTCATAAACAGCATCCTGGACCAAAAACTGAGGTATTTTGGCCATGTCAAACGAAAGCCTGGCCAGAACCGTGTTGGCGGGTACCGTTTCTGGAAAACGACACAGAGGCCGACCTTCGCGAACGTGGATACAGGAGACTGAAAATGCACTGGCTTTGAAAGCACATAGGGCTGGAGAACTTGCTAGAGAAACAGAGACTTTCAGGTGTGCCATGAAGAGAGCGAAGTTCTGTAAAGGACAGGCCGACTGACTTATTGGCACACTGGGCACATCATGCTAGCCTTATATTTGTACAGACCAGTTAGTACTCGGAGCCGCCGTGGTGTAGTGGCTAGATGCTGGCCTGTGGATCGTAAGGTCGTTGGTTCGCGTCCTGATGGAGCCATACTTTTTTTTAAAAACGACCTAGGCTTCCATGTCGATCCAGCCATAAATGGGTACTAGGTGCAATCGTGGGAAGTAAAGGCAGCCGACGTGACGTTGACCACATCATCTATCTAGTGTCGATTGGTCCACAAAATATAGATCTAGCCCTATATGCCCAATACCCCTGAAGGCGTGGGAAAAGCTGCTTTACTTTTCTGTACTTAGCACTCAGATAATATCGTCAATATCAAAGGTCTGGCCACTACGATACCACGGTTCCAAAAAATAATAACAATAATAATTAAAATAGTAATAATGTAACCGAATACGTTGTGTGGGTTTTCCTGATTTCACTACTGCGATACCATGTGTTCACTTCAAAAGTCCATCAATAGTTAATTAACGGAGCTTCTTATTTCATGGCAATTTATTTCTCGTATTTCTTTTTCTTCCTAGCGTTCACTGGATTGTTTGTCCATTCCTGAACTGTGGTCTCGTTCCATAACCTGAATTTTGCATGCACATCTGTTTTACAGATCTGGCTTATTTGTAGGTTGACTGCTGGTTTCTCGCCTCTCAGACAGGGGGCTGTGTGGTCTCGTGGCATGGTATCCGTCTCGAGTGCTTGTGGTTCCGGTTTCAATCCCTGGTAAGGGTTGGGATTTTTTTCACGTGGACTTGGACTTCTATTATTTCTCCCTGGTCTCTGGATAGTCAGATCGAACTCCCGTACGTAAAAAAATCCCTTGGCAGTTGGAAATCGAAAAGAGTAGCCTAACGGCGAGGCGCGGAAAAAATTTGGAGTAAAAAATCTATCTAAAGTATTTCAGGATCCTCGCTGGTGCTACAGAGCCTGTGCACTGCGATAAGCTTCTTCAGACTCAGACTTGAGTTAGAAGAAGAACGGAGCACTTATGGGTTACACTCGTGTGCTATGTTGATCCGTTGTTCAAAACCTCACACCACCTCTCGTGTAGATGGGCTCCGACTTGTGCAACACGCTTGTTAGGGGGGCAAGGATCCCCATAACCCTTAAGGGGGCAAGGATCCCCATAACCCTTAGGGGACAAGGAGCTCCATAACTCTTAGGGGGGCAAGGATCCCCATAACCCTTAGGAGGGCAAGGAGCCCCATAACCCTTAGGAGGGCAAGGATCCCCATAACCCTTAGGAGGGCAAGGAGCCCCATAACCCTTAGGAGGGCAAGGAGCCCCATAACCCTTAGGAGGGCAAGGATCCCCATAACCCTTAGGAGGGCAAGGAGCTCCATAACTCTTAGGGGGGCAAGGAGCCCCATAACCCTTAGGGGACAAGGAGCCCCATAACTCTTAGGGGGCAAGGAGCCCCATAACTCTTAGGGGACAAGGAGCCCCATAACCCACACAGAGATTTCTCTGGTTGAAGCGCCCTTATACTGCAAGTGTATTGTCTAGTTACGCGCTCCCTATGTGGGTTTATTACAGTGCATTGTGTGCTGTAGACATAAACCAGGCGTGGGCGGGGCTGGGGTTCCGACAGGGAAAAGGGAAATAGGAGATCTATGTACGGGAGATTTGACTGCTGGTCTTGGTAGCATTAACTATTGATGGTGTATTCAATGTGAATATTTCGTGACAGTTGTGGGATGGTGGGTGATGAAGGGGCAGAGAGAGAGAGAGAGAGAGAGAGAGAGAGAGAGAGAGAGAGAGCGAGAGAGAGAGAGAGAGAGAGAGAGAGAGAGCTAGAGAGAGAGA